AGTCCTCACTTGACCCAGGAAGTCCCACTGGCTTCACCTCTTACTACCTTCTTCAGATTTCTAAAACTAATCCTGCTTCTCAGTTCTTTGAGAAAACACAACCGACTATGACTATGTTAACTTTCTTCCCTACCAGCAAAAAAATCAATCTATTTCATTTTTCCATCCTTTTTCCTCAGGACAAGTGTTTCTACTATTGTTTCAGTTCTTATTCCACCTCTACAAGTTTTTCTCCGGCACATAGCTCTACTTTCACCTTCTTCTTAGGCCTCCAGTCTCTCTTCTCTACTGATATCTTTCCCTCAGCCTATGTGTCTACTCTAAATTTTTAGAACTCACAGTGCTTGAACTTTGTCATGAGTGATTCAGTTATCAGAATTTCACATAACTTTAGTAAGTCTCCTTTCCCCATGCATCCTCCTCCTGTATCTGTGGCTGGACCTTGTTTCCTCTGTCTCCCTGCCTGACCTACCCTTACCTCTTTGCCTCTTTCTTTTGACTGCCTATTCATCCCCCACCCTCCTTTCACTTTAATTTAGTCTACAGCTATTTCTTTTCCTATTCCTATAGTTTTTCACTAACTTCTTTTAGCCCCAGTTCTCTTTTGTTTCCATTTTTACCCAGTCTGCTGAATTATAGACTTAAATATTTCACTATTAGATATTTCTTCTTGGATGTCTCCAAAACATCCCATAATCCGTATATTTTTTAAATGGTTGAAAAGTTATAGATTTGGGTTCAAATATCTGAATTTAAGATCCTGGCATTTATTCAATAGTTAATATAATATTTGACTTCAGTTTCCTGTTTAAATACAGTCTTGAAATTCCATTCAACCAATGTGTTTTTCCACAGTACCATCTCCTCTCACCTGGATCATTGCAATAAAATTCCAGTTGATCTCCCTGCTTCCACCCTGCAGTATATCTTCTCAACATAGTAGACAAAATTATTCTTTAAAAAAGTAAGCCAGATCCTGATGAGAGAGGAGGAAGAAAGAAACCACTGAGTCAGGCAGTTAGGGCAGGTCCTCGGTAGAACTCCTTCAAACCAAAAACAGCCTGAAAATCAAGCTGCAGGCCCCAGATAAGAAAAAGCCCACATCCCTATATGAAAACACCCACTCTGTGAGCCCGGATGAAGAAATTTCAGTATTTTTGGGGCACATTTCTCACCCCTTGGTGCCTTTGTCCCATTTTGTACTCTTCCTCCCGATTATCTCTTACCTTTCATCTGTTTTACATATATCTATCTTTCTGTGATTGGCCACAGACAAATTCTTCATTTGCAAAAAGTGAAATGTCACTAAAGCTCTCAATTGGTTGTGGGCCAAGGCTTCACTTCTGCCTCCAATTGGTTCTTTACACTATCCTGTCTCTTCCTGAGTGTTGCATTTTCAAAAACGGCTCATAGACCAGTCAACCCACTCCTCCTCATTCTCAGCCCATTAAGACCCCAAACCTAGCCCCACAGCAGGCAACCCTCTTTTGGGCCCCCTCTTGCTGCTGACATCTTTTCTGTCACTTAATAAATCTCTGCCTTAACCCTCTCCAGTCTGCATGCCTTATTATTGGTTGTGGCGCAAGAACCCAGAACTCTCTGAATGGCGGAAGCAAAGAGCTATAACGCTCCCGCCTACTGAGCTGCTGACTGCAGGAGTCAATGAGCTGTAACCCTCCCTGTCACTTGCAGAACTACGGGAGTGGAAAAGTTGTTAACACTGTTACACTCTTCAGAATCTTTTAATGGTCCTCCATCCTGTTTTTTATTTGTTTGTTTGCTTTTAGTAAAAAAAAAAAAAAAAAAAAAATATTTACCTGATCTCTGGAATCCCATACTCCCCTTACGACATCTTTTCCTAATTTATCTTTTTCTGCAGGCACATTGACCTCTTTTGTGTTCCTTAAATTTGCTGAGCACCCTCCTGCCTCAAATCCTTAGCCCTTGACCTTTAATTCAAGTGAGTGTCACTCTCACCTTACTTCAGCCTTTATTCAAATGTCATATTCTCTGTGACATATACTCTGACCACCTATTTGAAATGTACCAGCCTCCAAACTCTGTCAGTCCCCCATCTGTGTTCTACTTTTCTCAATAAGGTTTGTCTTTTAATATGCTATACACTTAGCTCATTTGTTTCGTTTTTGTTTCTCTCCTCCCTTTATAATGTAAGATCCATGATCACAGGCATTCCGCTCTATTTTTATTTATTTATTTTCATTATGGTATCCCTAGTGCCTGGAACACAGTAGAAGTTCAATAATATGTGTGACATAAATAAATGAATGAACAAATTGAGATGGGGTGGTGCTTTTTGCACTACATAGAACTATAAAACATTCACTATTTATTCTTCTGTTATTTCTACTATTATTCCACTCCCCACCATAAGCAGGTTCACAGACATATGTACACATGAAACCAGTCTTTTTTTTTTTTTTTCTATCTACATATCATAACTTGATCTTATGACGCCATCCATTGTTTAAGTTTATATACTTGAAGACATATTGGGGCCTTTCAAATATTTAGTCACCAATTCTTAACTCATATGTCACATCACTTGGATCAGAGTGTTTATGATTAGAATTCATTAGAATTCATTTAATTCCCCAATACCTTAGTCCAATCACCTTGAACTCTTCTCTAGAGAATTGTAAGAGTCTCCTAGGAGATGGCTTTGTAGCATGTTTTATTATTAATTACTTTTTCTTAAGTATTTTCCATGGCTTCAAATTACAGACAGAATACTTCTAATGGCAATCAAGGTCCTTCATAACTGATCTTGACCTATGTTTTTAGATGCTCTATTCCAACACCATAAATCATTTTTATGGTCTTCTTTACTTCTTTGTATTTTCAACAAGTACTTATCAATTATTCACTGAGTTACACACTATGGAATGACATTTCCCCCTCTCCACATAACAATTTTTTATGGTTTAGGAGGAATGAGGTAAAATCTAGCATTTCAAGATCATAGATCAAACACAAAGTAGCTATAGATAAAATTAGCATCCATTCTGACTTTTCTGGGATAAACTTGGTTTATACCTGTTGTCCCAGTGTAATTACTAATAAACCTGCTTTCAGTCTCAGAACTCTCTCAGCTTGGTGATAAATTATATAGTCTCCTTATCTATAAGTAAAATAATTTGAATTTTATTCCATGCTCTTTCTCTACATTAACTTCGAAAATTATGTGACAGCCTAAAGCAAAATGTAAGCACTCCTCCTCTAGCATTCAAGCATACTTATAAATATCACACACCACTGTTTGGTGGGGAAAACCCAGGTCTTATAACCTGAATGACATTTCCATTTCAGTAGAAAATGTATTTTATCTCAAATGCACCACAATAGTTATTACCTTAGCCAACTGTTTAAACTTTATCTGGAATGTCCTGTATTCCACTTATCCAAAGCCCACCCATCTTGAGAGTGATGCAGGCATCCCAAAACTATTTTTTTTTTTTTTTTAATTTGTCTCAACCTGTCTCTTCCTGTGGCCTCTTCTTTTACCATTTTTTGGGGAGTGATATCTGTAGACACAACTAGTCTATTTGATCCTTTAAGACAAAGACTGGCTTCTACATCTTTGATTCTACAGCACCAAGTCTGGGGCCAAATACAAAGTATGCTCAAGCAACTTAATGTAAAAAATCATTATGATAGTGATGGTGATGAACATGTTGTTGGTGGTTAACTTAATGAAAATATAATAGGATAAAATAGCTATAGCTTGAGTATGGAAAAGGCTACACTTATACCCCACATCTGTAGATTTTAAAGATATATGTGTTTGTAATGCGTATTTACTGAAATTTATGCTGCTGGTATCAGGAGGAGGGAAGCTGAGGGAGAGAAAGGAAATATGTACCATATTAAATCAAATCTAGGATACCACTGAGAGTAATATGTAGTATTATTTTCCATATTGCTCGGGCAAAAGTGTCAATTAAGTTATGGCCTAATGCTTTCATATCACTTAAAATTTTTATTTGATATTTATTGAAAGAGCTCACCGAGAGCTATTTAATGTTGGCTTTTTAAAATCTTAAGTTATTTTTATATACACATAACAAAATTACCAGTGAAATATAATGGCTAAGGTATTCCCAACACTTCTTCACATTCAGAGACCGTGATTGTAAGAAACATTCCTATTTCAGGCATACTAAGATGTAGAGAAGAATTAGTTGTTAAAGGGATTCACATGATATAAGTAAATATGTTGTGAAAAAATAAACATCTGACAAGTTTGAGAGGACTTAAGGGAAGGCTGCAGATATCAAATATCCTGAAACAAAGGAAGGAAAACAGCAGACATTTTAGTCACAACCAACTGTAGAACATCTGAGTTAGAAAAAAAAAAAAAAAAAAAAAAACCTTAAAAAAATTTACAAAACCTTTTCCCCCTAAAAAAAAAAAATTTTATATTTAAAAAAAAAAAAAAAAAAAAAAAAAAAAAAAAAAAAAGAAAATACTGTGATATTGGGTATCCAACTCACGTAGAGACACGAAGTCCCAGTATCAGGATGGATGGTTAAGAACTGAATCTCAGAAATGGATTTTTAACTATGATATTAATATTTAACTCAACTGATTTTTTCTTTCTCTTGGAGCTGAGAAACTAAAATTTCTATGCTCAAGAGCCTCTGCTTTGATTCAACATCTTATATAAAACTTACTTGTTGAAATATCTATATTCCATCTTTGATCCGATAAAGCCCCGAGTCATCAACACAAACAGAATTTTTGACTATTTCCAGAACAGATTGTGTGAACCTATAACAAAGTCAAGTGTATTAAAATTGTGTGTTTGAGCTGAGTAGTTAAAATTAAGAAAAATAATTGGTTTGTCTTTGTTGCTGAACAGAAAATGTGGATCATATTCATGTACCTTTTATGTATTGCTTTCTCACATTTCATCTTTGTACTGCTCCTTCTGCCCATGTTGAGATCATTCATATTTTATTTCGAAACATTTTCATTTTCAGATCAGCAGTTGTGTGATCCTGGTGAATTTCTTTGCCACGATCATGTGACTTGTGTCTCCCAGAGCTGGCTGTGTGATGGGGACCCTGACTGCCCTGATGATTCAGACGAGTCTTTAGATACCTGTGAGTAGAAAGGTTCTCATGCCATTCGGATTTATCTTACATGTCAAACTAAATGTCAGTTATTTTCACAGATGACTGCTGTTCTAGATTCTTCTTTTTTTTTTCCCCCAAATAGCCTAAGAAATTTGAAACCTTTTGTTTGTGTTTTTTAAAATATGACTATGTGAAAGAGAGCCTAAAATGCAGTTTTGGAGTGTGAATTAACTTATGAAAGGAAGAAAATGTGAAGTTAATTACTTCAATGTGATTGTGTTAACACTAGAAAAAAATGACTTGAGAAAAAATTTATTTAAAATATATAACTAAAAGGGAAAAGATCTTCCCCAATAAATTATCTCACACATTTTGAGACAGAAGGAATATTGAAGAAATCAAGCTTTAGTTCCTATGTTATTTCTATTAATATTTTAAGGCACTACACATATAATTGAACATATTTTCCTCTGAGACTGAAAGATAGAAACTTTATCCATTCATAGAGTTAGGATATTTGTATTTATAATATCACATTCAGAAACCCTTAGTATATATGAATCCTAATCATAGTTGTACTACTATAACTTGGAATCCAACGAAGGCTTTTTCCATATTACAAATACCACTACAACAAAATTATAAATAATAATATGACCATAGCTACATATGGCCCACTTTTTTTAATACCCACTTATCATAAGGGGTATGAACAGTTCCCTGAATATTGGTAGTGATATTTCTAGAACTTCTCATATCAACCTGTGCTCCTCAGGCAACCAGGTATGCTGACATGTCAATATCATCCCCAGAGTAACCACATAGTTGTATGAAATTAATGTGAAAAAAAGATACATCATCTTCATTGCTTGATAATGTTGAAATAACAATTATTGGTTCCATTTTCCATTTTCATTTATCTGTTTTCAAGTCTTGCAGACAGTTTTGAAGAAAATCTTGCTGTTAGAGGCAAATGCTTACTAATTTCCTTTATGTTCGACAGTCTTTTTAAGGTTTCTCAAACAGTGAATACTTGAATATTTGCAAGAATTGCTTCTCTTTATTTTGAGCTGATTGCTTTTTCCACAGGAAGAGGTTATAATCATTTACTGCTACATTTCTAATTTTCACCAATTTCACCAGTTAATGCCCAAAATCCTTTCAAAACTCTTTACTAGACTCCTTACAGCATAGACAAGGTTCTCAGCAGATAAGTTAAAAATAAAAGATTCATAGGAAAAATTCTAATGCATAAATTATGATAAACCCATATAGAGGAATATTATTTGGTAATAAAAAGGAATGAAGGACTCATGCATGCTACAACATGGATGAACCTGGAAAATATGCTAAGGGAAAGAAGCTCATCAAAACAGATCACATGTTTTATGATTACCTTCATATACAAGATACAAAATAGGAAAATCTATAGAGATAGAAAAGCAGAGAGAGGTTGCCAGGAGCTAGGTAAAGTAGGTCACAGGGAAGGGAATGAGGAATGACTCTTATTGAATATATGGTCTTTGGGGGATTGATGAAAATGTTCTTAAATTAGATTGTGATGATGCTTGCACAACTGTGTTGATATGTTTTAAAACACAGGAATGCACATTTTAAATGGGTAAATTATGTTATGTCAATTACATCTTAATAAAGGTGTTTGTAAAGGGAAGATAAATCTCAGTATTGTGCATATGAATGAAGAGATACAGGAATGTGGAAAAACAACAATAATAAATGCTTTGGTCCTACATTATACAAATAGTGAGGCCACTTTTCAATATCCCAACTCTCTTTAAGCTTTAGCCCTCTCCTTTTCAAGTGCTATCTAGAAATGAAATTCTCTCCTCTTTAGCTACAAGGAAAGACTGCCATAGCATAATCAGAGTAAGAGTCAGGGTTCTTTAATTTTGGTAATGGGGTCTCACATTCTGCCCTGATCCTCCCACGAATTCTGTGATGGAGAAAATAACAAGGACATGACATAGATTTGCAGAATTCATATGCTGGAAAGCCAGAGTGGAGGAGAAATGCCATAGAACTGTGTGACTGGCACAATGCAATAGTAGTTGAGAAGAAATGGTAGCATGGCACTTCTAGGCCGGAGTCTCCTTCATGCTGGTGAAGAATGGTAAACAAGGATGTTCCCTTTGTGCTCAAGAGGGAGCTCAGTGGAGAATCAGACTGGAGAGATTTTGTGTCTAAAGGGGCAGTATTAACCTGTGTAGTCAGTAGGTAAAGTCCAGAGAGAAAATAGACCTCTCAATGCATGTCAAAGTAGGTGATGACAAATATTCCGCCCTCCTCCTATGCCCACTCCATGTCTTTAAAATCATGGCAGATACCCAGCAGGCCCACACCAGTGGACCAGGCCTATGCACACTGAGCAGTATTCACCCTGATTGATTAGATATCTACTAAAAATGGTTAAAGTCCCACTGCAATTCTGTTAAATATTTGAACAACCGCCCTGCCGATAAGGTACATACCACCTTGAATTTGTGTAATAAGGGGGTCCTTCAGTTCACAGAGATTAGGGGCTTTTAGCAGACAGAGGCCTCAAATTGGAAATAGAATGTCAGTTAATTAAAAATAGAGATTGATATTCTGCTTACTTAGTTTGTAAAATAAAATTCATACCTGCTCAAGATATTTTTGGCAGTTTAAGTATATAGTTTTTTTCTCTCCAATAACATTTGATGGATTCAAATTTAAAATGTTTCTTCACTTTGGCCATTCGTATTTTATCCTCTAACATTAACGTTGCTGAATATCCTTAAAGGCAACACTGAAACTGCTCTTTATTGATTAGCCACATAACAAAGACAGAGAAATAACTGTATTTTCTAACTGTTTTATTCATTTAATCTGTTCAAGATATTTAGATTTATATTTAATTAGCCTGTTCCATATAAATGGTTTCAGTCAATACCAGTTGAAATTCGGACATGCATAGAAAAAAAAGCTTTATGAAAGTATCGGTCTTTTGCAAATTTAAATTTCTCAATCCAGATGTTCACCATTATCATTTTCTGTAATCACAGTACTTTGTAATGTGTTGTTTTATGATATTCACATGCAGTCTTCACTAATCTACATAAAGTAATTGCATAATTTTATAATTATATGAATGTATACATTTGATATGAAAGATAAATATTAATAATGGAAAACCTTGGAGACTGATTCTTAGGAAGATTAATTTTGTGCTCAGTATATGAACAAAAATATTTTAACATCTTTGATTTGAAGACAAAGTATTTTGTATCTTCAAAATATTAGATAAAAACAACTGATGCAATAGTTATTTTTTTTGGAAATCCACTTAGCTTTAAAATGATAGAGAGACCGCTGTAGCATAGAATTTATTGTGTCATTGTGAAATCTCTGAAGTGACAAAATTCTAACAGGAAGTAAATGGATATTGGTTAGCAAGAAGAAAAGCTTTACTTATAAAATGCTTTAGAAGGAAAACATATGTACAGAACAATAAGAAATCCTAGAAACTAAATAAAATTTAGATAATTAGAAATCTGAAAGTTTATCAAGTCCATGTTTTCCTTCTCTTCTGTGTTTGCTTGTTCCCAGGCTCTAGCGTATTCTCTAGCATTCATGAAGCAGAAGTTAAAGTTCGCTAACAGCAATACACATAGAAAACTGTTGTACGAGGTTGACTTACAACTAAGCTGATTTCATGTTGGGAAGAATTATCTAAAATACACAACTGGAAAATTTTAATAATTTATAATCTTACCATTGTGTATGAGAAAGGACTTTGAGTCATAAAAATGAAAGCTTTTATTTCTGCATATTGTTTAAAATAATTTTTCAAGTGTCTAAATAAAGACTAACACCAGTTTTAGGTTCTATAGGCAATGAGAATAGAAAATCAGGGAAATCATCATCTTTCTACTCAGAGCTTTTAACCCAGTGTTGTTAGCATAGCATGTGATGGGAATGAAAATAAATAGTGGAAGTGTTTAGTTAGAGAATGAAAGCTTGGTACCACCTGTATCAGGAACGTCTTCTTAAAAGGCACTTCTGAGGTATTTAAAATTGAATTCCTTCTAGAATTTTCTGTGGGATGCTTAATGATACTTCTTTTTCAACACTTGGCTCCAGCTGATGTATGATATTTTCCGGATATCTGATATCATTGTACTTAAAACTAGATTCTTTCTTTTTAAGAAAGAAAAGTATTAGCCATGCTATTCAACCTTCTTCCTTATTTCCTGCTCATTGCTCGTCAAAGAATCATTGACTGAGTTCTTCCGTCACAGATCATGTTTTGGACGTAATGACTCATTGACCAACAAAGGATAACAAAAATGGCCTAAGCAATATTTGCAAACTGGACTCTTCTCTGTCCTGTCCTTCTACAAGGGTCAGCATGCATTTTCTGTAAAGATCAGATAGTAAATATTTAGGCTTTAAAGGTCCATATGATCTCTGTTGCATATTCTTTGTTTTTATTTATTTTTCAGTTTGTTTTGAAAACCTTTAAAAAGGAGGAAGAAAACAAAATCTCTCAGCTTACAGTCTGTACAGTAACAGGCCACACAGGTCAGATCTGCCCAACAGGCTATATAATTTGCCAAATCTTTGTTGTAGTAGCATAGCTGAAATATATCTGCTATACAGTTGAGGCAGGTTTGTGCTCAGGCACTGCTGCTATATGGAACAGCATAACCTTACACAATGAATGCACGAAGTACGGAGTTGTGTTTGTATCCACCAGTCATGGTGCCAGACTGATCCAATATGGTGTAGTCTACATATACTGAATTTTGTTTCCTTCTATTTTTGCATACTTCCTTATTGGTTAGGATTGCATTTGACCACATGTTATAGAAACAGTGACTTAATCAAATAGGGTTTTCCTTTTTTCATAAAAAGAGAAGTTGCAAACGTGGGTAATTCAGAACTGACGTGACAGATTCAGAATGACTACAGGCTTCTTCTATCTCTCCTACTCAGTACCATATCCACAGTATGGCTGCTTCTCCCTTAGTAGATAATTTCATTTTGGACAGCCAGAAGGAAAAGAGAAAAGGGAAAAGGCCAATGCCAGCTGAGCCTCTCCGTCAGGAAAAGGATAAATTTTACAGAAAGCAAACACAGTAGATCTCCTTCACCAGAATGGGTTATATGGGGCATGGGGCAACGAGTATTGTCAACAAGACCTGGTTGCTTTCCAAAACAATATTTGGTGTTCCGCTAGTAAAGAAAAAGGAAGAAGAGATATTGGGCAGGCAAAGGAACTTGGTAGTATATACCACAGTGTCCCTTCACTCTCCTCCTTGGCATCTGCTGCATAGGAGATGTTACGGACAGTACATGGTCACAGCAACTGCTTGGCTCCAAGGCTCAGTTTTTCCATGAATATCTTTGCTCTTGGACAACTAAATTAACACTATTGTGCCTCCATTACCCCATCTGTACAATGGAAATGATAGTACCTGCCTCACAGTAAGGTGCTCAGAATGAGTGCCTATTCCATAGTAACATTCCTTCTCCACTCCATACCCCATCTGCCTTCCAGATGCCCACAACGAAGCACCTTACCTTGAGGTTCTTTTGAAAGACCATCCAACTGCCCCCTCTCAGTCGATCCTCTCTCATTCTTACTCAAAACCTAACTGAAAGTCAGTTCTATTCCCTAAAACATGGCTAGAGAAGAGGTTTAATCTATATATGCTAATCAAGTTAAGTTATAAATAATTTCCAATGATCAGATATATTACATTCAAACACTGGGATAAATTTGGTATAGAAATTATTTGGGGGCAGGTGACTTTTTCTAGGAACTCTTTCAAAAACATTGATGTTGAATAATTGGCTAAATTTGAAATACATGATTTAAAAAATACAATAGTCAAAAATATTAATTGACACTGCAGTCCTGAAATGTAGATAATATTTCATTTTAAAAAAATAAAGAAGTTGAGTTTATAATCCTTCTCTCCCCTTCTAAGTTGGCTCCTGTTAGTGAAAACAGAGTTTATATTTTTTGAACTTGCCCTCCTTTTTTGAAATACTGAGATAAAGCAGGATCCAATTCCTAAAAGAATCCTCAGGCCACCTAATTTAAAAATACATTGTCATTTGAAAATCATGGAAGGCCATCCCAAAAGGGTTGTTTCACACTGGCTTTGGGAGTGATCAGTTCTAATTGAACAATGCCATAAAAAGAACAAGTCTCTTGGGTACTAGGAAGAGAAGCATCTATGAAAAATGAAAATGGCTATAAGTCATTAGGTGAGATGTGAATCTGCATGAATTGACCAGTGCTTCTATTATGTTTCCATTTTTGTGAGATTTTAGACTTTATTTAGGTAGTAGGATTTTAATGAACTTCTTATATTCATACACTGACCTTTCCCCTTGGATATAAGATAGAAATCCTTTCATAATTTCCTTCTAAACTTTCTACCTTTGACATAGGTCAGAGAAATAAAATAGAATTCAGGTGGGAGGTTATTAGCAAACAGATACCGCCCTTTAAAATTATATAGTAGAATAAGGCACTGAAAGTAGACTATAGGAACTATAAAACAGATAGAAGTATGGTCCGTGTTTCTAAGTAATGGTGATTTAGAGGTCACTTTGCAATGAGCTAATATATGAGAGTCACAAAGCTAAGCTTTTCGTTCGGTAGAAAAGCTGAAATGATCTTACAGATTAAAGGGAAAGCATATGAGACCCATGAGGACAGTTTATGTCTCTTTCAATTCTTTTTGTTTTGTTCTTCATTTTATTCTGAGACTCCTCTCTTTAGCAGTAGAGAGGCCAAAAAGCATTGACCCTTCTTTAATAATAAAAAGACTCCCACTTAAGAGTTGATATGCAGGGGTGATAGGAAGGTGGGGATCAGTGTAGTTGTGAATTGAAAGGGCCTAACATTGGTACAGTTCCCCAGTACAGTGGAGTCGGAGTAGGGGGTGACATTTCTCCTCATTCTGCCCTCACAATGCACTAATGGGTCTCTGAGAGTCTGCCTCTGCAATTTAAAAAAAAAAAAAAAAAATAGTTGATTGCAGGCGTAGGTGATGAAACTACAATTCACACAGCCATAGTGAGCTCAGCAATGACAAAGCCTCACCTTTTCACTCAAGAATTCACTGCTTTTCAGTCTTCTGATCCAAGACCACAGGTCACAAATGAAAGGGGACACATGTCCCTCAGGTGGGGCTATAAACTATGGAGAATGAAAACTTTGAAATGATGTAAAATAAAAGGGGTGAAATGAAATACAGGAATTCTAGAAACAACTGGTGAAATCTCCTTGGCCTAAAGGATGATGTACTGTAAACAAACGCTCTTGCAGGACTCTACAGGGACAAAGCTGAAGGCTGAGCAAGGAGTCTTCCCAGAAACTATTCAATCCATCATTTCTCTATAACTAATCTAGCATTTGGGGTTGTGGATGAAGGCTTCTTACCTTTCATGGGTGAGCACATTTCTTCCCGGAGGACGTTTTATTCTTTATAGTCAGTGTATAAAATTTACATTTGACTTTCATTCAGAAGTGCTTCTAAAATGACATATTTTGCTAAATGAAGCACTAAAGGTTGTTGTGTTCTAGGAACTTATTCTTAATGGAGATGCCTTCTTTTCTCCCCATGTCTTCTGTCATTCTACCCTGAAATACCTCTACTCTAAGCCTATGGAATTTTCAGCAGGCCAGAGCATCTCATCAGTTTACTAACTGCTATATTCGCCCTGTTCAGGCAATATAACTGACTTTGGGTGTTTAGTTTTTTTTGTTTGTTTGTTTTGTTTTTTGTTTTTACTAAAAACTTTGTAACATTAGCTTTTCTGTTTTTCAGGATGGCAGAATTGCACTCAAAGGAGAAAAGTTCAGGCAAAGATAGGTAAAAAGAAGGGTTGGGTAGGAGGGATTGAATTCAGTGGCTAGGGTTTGTAGCAATCCACTCATCTCATAGTTTCTATTTTTGCTCTGAAGAAAGATACCTTGGGAGGGAAGAGTATGCACATATTATTCACTGGCCAACCCTGAAAGGTCAGATACAAGAGAGAAGAATTCCTCAACTGAGACACATTTTCCTGGGTACCCATCTGCAAAGAAGAAAACAAAAACACTTCCCAACACCTCTGACTGAGTTGCCAACAGAAAAGTAATTGTTAATATAAAATACTCATCTTAGAATTCAGCATGAATTTAGCAAGGAGTTGGCCGTCTGCAAACAAATGAAAGAGGCCTCACAGGAAACCAACCTTGCAGACTTCTTGATCTTGGAGTTATGGCCCCCAGAACTGTAGGAGAATAAATTTCTGTTGTTTACACCACCCAGTGTGTGGTATTTTGTTATGGCAGCACTACCAGATAAATTCCACATCTTACTATATATCTATTGCAGTTTCATTTAATACCAGTGTAAAAACAATCCAGCAATTAAAAATTTCTTATATTTTTCTTGAAGATATGTATGAAATATTACTAAATTCTAGAATATTAATGTTATAGACATTATAAGCCTGTTAAAGAAATGTGAAATGAAACCACCAGTTTCTGGTGGGGTAAATAAAGGTAGTTACAGACCTTTAAGAACACATAATGTAATTACACAGAGTTACTATACAAATGAAAAAGCACTTCTCATTGAAATTCCACTGAAAAACATACTGCAAATGTATGTTTTTTTTCAAGTATTGACAGATGATGGGTTGCTCCAAACTTTTCAGAAATAGATTTGCCTGAGACCCGTCCTCCTGGTGATCTATGACATGTAGATAGAAGTGCAGTTAATGGCTCTCTTTGCAAAGCTATCTCGTTACAACACAAAAAATGGGCCATGTGCAGTGGTTCAACTCTGTAATCCCAGGGTTTCAGGAGGCCAAGGCAAGAGGATTACTTGAGCCCAAGAACTTGAGGCTGCAGTGAGCTATGATTGAGCCACTGCCCTCCAGCCTGGGTGATAGAGTGAGATCTTGTCTCTAAAATATATAGAAACACACACATGCATGCATATATAAACAAACGTGCATACTTGACCTAAGTACTATTATTTTCTGAGGAAAACAGTAGAAATATATAACAGATGTATACATCCAAGCATGTATATAATTAATATTCTATATTAGGTTATAATCTATACTAGATTATTGTAATTTTCAATTCTGAATCTATCATTGGGTTAGACAATAAATTCTATGTAATTTGACAGTAAAAAGAAACGTTTCTTTCTCCACAAGGACTTTTGGGGAATTTTGTTACATTTTGCTTTCAAATGTGCATATGTTAGGCAATTCAATTTTGAAATAAATGACACATTATTCATTTTCACTTAAATAGTAAAGAATATTTTGTCATTGAACTAAATTTCTCATAATATGTAGGTGCTTTTTATTTACAAAGTCTAGAAACCAATCAATCAGCAGCTATTTATTGGGGGACTACTGCATGAAGGTGCTTCTGAGCACATAAAAGCAACAATTTCTCCCATGTGCTTTTGTGTGCCATAGCTTTAACCTATGCTAATTTTTTTCTCATTTTATCTATTCTGGTAAGATGCTTTTCTTTCCATGTTAAAGAAGATGATGTTTATGATAGAGATTAATGATGATTACTGACACAAATGAATGATTCCTATGTGCCAGATGCTGTGCTGTGAAGATTACATGAATTATCTCCTTTGATCCTGACAAAAACTCTTAGCAGAGTGTTAGGCACAGTTGCTTAGGTTGTACAAGGTCCTAGAGTGACATAAATATTGCACATAGCATGGGTGTATATATTTTCTCACAAATGGGAATAAATTATCTTGAAGAGGAGGCACTATTTTCTAATTTGCATGATGACACGATAGATTGGTGGCCCTACTTATGATAATATTCACTTATGATAATATTCACCTTTTACAGGTGATAAAAATAAAGCACAAGGAGATTTACTTAAAGTAATTAAGTGATAGAGCTACAAGCGAACACTGCAGCATGCTATACAGTCTGGAGTTCAAGGGATTCCCAGGGTCAACATCTTGATGCTTAGTGGAACAAGATTGTCACGCATGCCTATGTCACACTGCACTCAAGTCAACCTGCTTTCCATGATGCCATTCAACCTCATGTACCTATGCTATCCAGATATATGTATGTTCAGCCATTCAGTGTAGACACAACAAATTTTAATTGACTACTGTATGACAGGGCCTGTGGTTGATATTGAGAATAATAAGCCAAAAATGAAAGAGAGATGTAGTAATAATTGGAGAGAGGATTTAAATTATTTATTTTTCCAATTAGAAAGGATATGATCATAAAAGTATATATGTCATTGTGTTAATAACTGTATAATTTATATAGTTTAATATTTATATACATATACACGTGAAGTTTGTGTGTATATAAACAAATTAATCTGAAAAAAATAAGTATAACAACATTATCTTAGCCTCTCTCTCTGTCACACACACACACACACACACACACACACACACACTCTTTAAAAACAGATTGTTGAACGTAACAGTGAAGATTCTGGATTTTTAAATCAGTTTTTGTTTTTTGTTTTTTTGTGTGTGCGTAACAAATTACCACAGATTTAACATGTTGAAACCCATTTATTATCTCTCAGTTTTCTGGTTCAGAAGAGCACGTGGGATCAAGTGGATTTTCTCCATAAGGCCTCACAAGGCTGAGATCAAGGAGTCCCTCAGGCTGGGGTCTTATCCAGAGGGTTTGAGGAAGAATTGGCTTCCAAGCTCATTTAGGGTCTTTGTTGAATTCAGTTTCTTGTGGTTTTAGGACCAAGGACACGTTTTCTTTCTGGTTGCAGCTGCAGCCACTCTCAACAATTAAAAGCAATCTACATGTCTTGGCATGCGACCCCTCCATTTTCAAACCAAACAGCGGTGTGTCAAAATGCTCTCACATTTCATGATTCAAATCCCTGGCTTCCGCTTCTGTGGCCAAATGGGAAAACACTCTGTCTTTAAAGACATCATGTGACTAGAACACTTAGCTATCTCCCTTTTGTCATGGAATGTGATATAATCCTAAGAATGATATCACATTATACTCACAGGTTCTACCCATATTCAAAAGAGAGGAGGGGTCAGACAAGGGTGAAGGTCACTGGGAGTCATTAGAATTCCGACTAACATCGTGTATTTGTCTGCTTGGGCTGCTTTAAGAAAATACCACAGACTGGGTGGCTTAAACAAAACTCATTTATATCCTCATAGTTCTGGAGGCTGGAATTCTGAAATCAAGGTCTTGGATTGGTTTTATTCTTAAGCCTTTCTCTGTGGCTTGCAGGTGGCTGTCTTTGTCTAGAGTCTTCACAGGGTTACCCCGCTGAGTGTATCTGTGCCCTAATCTCATCTTCTTATAAGAATGCCAGTCATATTGGATTAGGGCCCACCCATACAACCTCATTTTACCTTAATTACCTCCTTAAAATCCTATCTTGAAATACAGTCACATTCTGAGGTACTGAAGTTTAGGACTTCAACATATGAATTTTGGGAGGACCAATTCAACCCATAAAACACAAGCTAATTTTGCATATATATATATTTTTTTATTATTTTATTATTATTATTATTATTATTTTTGTGAGATGGAGTCTCACTCTGTTGCCAGGCTGGAGTGCAGTGGCACAATCTCGGCTCACTGCAACCTCCACCTCCTGGGTTCAAGTGACTCTCCTGCCTCAGCCTCACGAGTAGCTGGGACTACAGGGGCCCACCACCATGCCCAGCTAATTTTTGTATTTTTAGTAGAGATGGGGTTTCACTATGTTGGCCAGGATGGTCTTGATCTCTTGACCTCACGATCCACCTACCTGGCCTCCCAAAGTGCTGGGATTACAGGCGTGAGCCACCACGCCCAGCCTTTAAAATATATTCGAAGACATCTTTAATCGCCAGCTTATCTCATAAAGAGAACTTGTTATTTGTTTTAAAAGTTGAATTTCCTCCCTCTGCTTTTTTTTGTGAAGAACTTTAAGCTGAGAGAAAAATCAGAATAACAGTGTGATAAATACCTGTATACACTGGATTTATCAACCATTACATTTTGTGGCATTTGTTTTTTCTTTATCTGTCTCTAATGCGTATTTGTCATGTTCACACACATACATTTGTATGTTTATATGTGTTTTTTGCCGAACCATTTGAATACATGCAGACATGTGTTTACACCTAAATCTTTCTAAGAACAATACATATTCTTATATAACCCATACACAGGTATAATACTATATCATATCGGATTCATATTCAAATTTCTCCAATTGTCCCCAGAGTTTTATTTGTAATTATTTTACCAAATCTAGGATCCAAACCAAGGATAATGCATTGCCTATAATTGTCATAGGTTTTTAGTCTTCTTTAGAATATTTTCCAGCTTTTCTTTTGTTTATTATGATATTCTATTTACCTATAGAATATCACACAACCAAGATTTTTCTGGCTGTTTTCTTACA